TGAATATTATTTTTGGTTAAACATTTTCCTTAAATACTCTAGGGAAGAACTATGCCAAATTCTCCTGTAGACTGAACATGTGAAATCAACACTAGTTGCAGTAGTATATCCTGGAGTATTTTCATCTTCACTGTTACCAAGAGTAGCACCACAATGAGAATTAGAAAAGCAATGCCATGCTAAACAGAACTTATGAAACAGTTAACAGAGGACTTTCCAGTCAGACTCCAGTCTACCATTTGTGTAGGGATGATTTACAGAAAAAATGCAATGGGCAGAGTATAACAGAAACGTGAAATCCACTCTTGTAATTAAGTTATAATTCTTAACTCTATCCTTTAATTAAAATTACCAGAAATCACATTGAGGGCCATTATTTATCAAAATCTTGAAGAAATGAAATGTAGTCTATGCTCATAAAAAAACCACTACAGATCTTAAAAATATCTCAAATAAATCTTAAGCAATAAAACCTGAGTATTTCATTGTTGATATTTCACTGCAAGACCCCCTTGGACAAGACTTGTTCTTCTGAAGCTACAGTTGCCTTAAGCAACTCAAGCATTCAAAGCCACTATCTGCAAGAGTGATAAGCAAAACTAAAGCTCGTTTTTCTTCACAAAGCCTAGAGGTTTTTGCTAGTCATTGTGTAAAAGAAGGAACTTCAGGTCGTCATATACCTAGGTAAATTTTGAATATGTAACAGAATTCCACAAGGTTTCTAAAAAGAGCTATGAGTTTCAGTATTGTTGCAATCAACAAATATTGTCAAGTTTGATGTATTTTGAGATTGATTAAAAGGTTCCCCTGAAACTGACAGAAAATCTGCAGCTTCAGTTTCTCATTCTTCTGCTTCACCAACCTGAATCTCCATTTCTTCATGGGGCTCTACATTAATATTTGTTGTGGTGCAGCTCACGTAAGCAGCACTATTAACAACTTAATCTTCTCCAAGGAAACTGTATTCTGTAATTATTCTCCACAATTCTGTGACTGTAAATGTCACTTTAACTAGTTAAAACCTAAGTATTTTAAGCACTTAAAGAGATCCATCTCCCCAGAAGAGGGAACATTAGTAATTAATATTTACATGCCACTGTCTCAGACTACACAAAGTCACATTACCAAAACCAGAAACAAATACAGCACAAATGCAATGGAGGCGGAGAGGGAAAGGGGAAAGTGTGGCTGAAGGACTACCTGTGCAGCCTTGAAGGAAATGCATTCCCTTAAAAGGTACCCAAACATCTTAAAACATATTCCCTCCCCCTAAGATTCTTAAGAATACAACAAGATAAATATTAATATAGAGCCCATCTACCAAAAGATAATAAAAAACCTAAATTAAAATAAATTTAGGGGCCTTCACCAAACTTGCTGCAAGTTTGGGGACATAAATATCCAACAGCCATGAAGCTGTGAAAGCCCCCAGAATGAATAAAATAAATCCCACTTGCCTCAGACTGAACAGGGCAACACTGAGACTCTGCCTCAGCCTGTCCTATGGCAGGGCTATAGGAAGAAGAAAAATTTAAATTTTAGAAAAAACATGACCCAATTAAGTGAAAGACATGCATTCAAAGTTAACGAAATTCCAGTGATCAAGCAAACAAAAGAAAATTACTGCTACTTCACCTGTTCCTTTAGGCCCAAACAAAACTTTACAGTTGATAGCTATTTATAAATTGGAGAGTTTGTTTTGCTTTGTATCTTGATCAATGGAACATAAGTCAGTTGTCTTGGGGCATTTTTCCCATAACTGATAGTACTTAACTGCACTAGTTCACAAAAAGTAGTTAAAAATTCCATCAGCCACTGAAAATATTCACACTTACCTAAGTATTTACGTAGAAGCTAGACCAGTACAATTATTAAGACATTTCCTATTATTTATAAATGTAATTAGTTACCATTTTAAATTGCAGCCCCCACTCAGGGACTGCTACATCAATCTCAATTTAACTGAAGAGTCATAATACACTTCTTGGCGTTTCTAAGCCTGAAGTAATGTATGCAGAATTCTTTGATTCCTATAAAATACCAGTTATATATTCTGTTCACTTTTATCTGAGTTTTAAGTTGTTACACAGTTCTATGTAAGTACGTTTGCAGAGCTCCATACACTAAAATAATTGCAGAAACCATAAAGGCAGATGCAGCTGAATGTGTTTCTAGAAGCTTGTTTATATTCTCCCATGCATGCACAGAGCGAGGAATAATTATCCACTGAAATTACTAGATACACATCCCAGCCTCAAATTTACTATCAGCATGTAAAAATCTCATCTGTGGAAGAAGGGAAAAAAAAAAATAAAATCTAAGTTTCAGAAAACAAAATTTTTTGTCCACATAAGACAGTCAAATTTTCAGCAACCTTTGCCAAAGGCAAAGGCAGTCTAAAGAAAATATGAAACAGCCATATTAAGACTTCTGAAAAACTAGCACATGCTTTTCCAAGGTTCTTTCATGCCAGTCTCGCCCCTTTCACTCTAAAAATCAGCAGATATGAGATCAGCCTCTCATAATGATACCGAGGGAACAGGCATAAAATAAGTTAGAACCTTTTAAACAAGTCCTAGATGCCATAAATTTAAAGTATTTTGCTAATCATGTTTTACCACCTGTGTTTGAACATTTTCTTGCAGCCTGACTTGTTGGGGTTTTTTTTCAGTCAACATTTCCATTACATTCCAATTTAAAGACTGATTAAATTCCACTTTCAGATTTTCATTTTACTTTAAAATCTGCCACAGTAAATTCAGGCAACAACTGAAAAACAAATCTGCAGTCTACATAATTATATCATTAGAGGCCTACAAGAGATACAAAAGATATCAAAGGCTTCTGCAATCTCCTTCTAGGGAGATGAACTAAGTAAAAAGCTGCCTCTGCGTGGCTGCTCTACATCAGGGATCTTGCTGGCACAACTGTGTCTACTACACTTTGTATCCGTAAACCAAGCCTTAGTCTTTATACAAGCAATTACTACATTCAAAGTAGTTTTTCTCTTTTTGGGAAAATGCACCATAAATCCAACTCTCTGAACATTAAGAAGCAGTATCCAAAGAAATGAAGGCAGGGACCAACAGACAACATATGCACTGAAATATCCAGCTGTTTAGAGAAGAGTACACACAAGAGACACAAGAGGAACTAAAGATAGCCACATCACAGCTCTTACAGCACAGGAATGACAGGAGCAGGAAAGTTAAGTATCACATGAAAAACCATGGAAGAATTGTTCATCTGCTTGCTAAAAATTATTAAGAGTAGTATATGAATAACACATGGCAGTACTTAGTTGAGAGACTATCATAACTTTACAACTAAGGAAAGTGCAATCTTAAAACATGTCCAAGCTGTAAGTCTACATAGTATTAGCTAAAGAAAGGTACTATTACTGGAACAATGAGACATTCACTATTTAAAAGGGAAACTCTGAATTAATACAACTTGCAGAATATGCTGAGTTAAGAGTACATGCAGTAACATTTTCAAGTATTTATCCCAGGAAAAGTAGGGGTCTGAAAACAACATAACCAATAAGTTACGCAAAGACACCGAAAGGAGAAGGTATTTACTTTGCTAGGGACAGTAGAGCAAAGCATCCTTCCAGCAGCAATACGATCTTCAGAAAAAGCACAAGTTCTATAGTTTTAAAAGCAGAAATTAAGATCAATTTACAATCTGAATTTTACATGTAGTATTACAAAAAGGATCAATGCAAGACACTGTAAAAATCTCTCCAGTAAAAAGAATAATTGCAATTATTCTTATTACAAGAAAAACAGAGGAAAACCAGAGTACAAAAGCACTGTCTAGCAGAACAGTTTCATCTGTTAGACTTCTGTATAAAGCAAGATGAAGAACTCACAAAAGATCTGACATTAAGGCCCACTCAGCACATTTGCAAGCCAAATACTGCACATCTGACAGGTGATCAGAAAGAACTGCTTCTCATCAGAGGCTTGGAGTTATGGTCTTAAAACTGCTAAACACTTCAGACAATTCTTCATGGTCAAACTTAAGGCCACTCAGCTGCAATTAGTGTACTGGGTGTTAATAGCCATTCCATTATCCCAAGTTTGAAGCTGAGAGACAATGTAGTATTGTAGCTGTACTGTGTTTCTGGACTATTAAGAAACAGTACATAATAAAGCCACATGAAGTACTCAACTGCAGCTAAAGATTCCCAAGACTTTCAAGACAAAGAGCTAAAATGCTCAGTATTAAGTGAAAAAAGTCCACTATCAACAAAAACACATGTGGAACATAAACCGATATAAAAATGCTGATAAACTCCCTAAGATAGCCTGAAAGAGGTATCTTCATGAATTAAATTGCACAGATAGGGCTTGAGGCTGGAACATGTATTTAAAGTTGACCTGCAAATGAAAAGATCACCACTCCTTTTTTCGCTTGCTGTGACAAAGCCAGGGAAGCCCTCAACTCCCCCATCATAAATATAGGACACTAACATGGGGATATTAGACATTCAGAGAATTACAGCCTAGATTGTAATTTATCACTCTACTCTTATAAACAGATAACTGACCAACTCATATGGGGAAGATCTCTCTTTGAGAACTGTAACTAGGAGAACTGATAAAGGGGTCTCTTACTCTAGGCGCTTCTAGTAATGGCTTGAGAAACTCAGCCAACATCGGATCTAGGCCCACAATGGATGACTTACTGACTTACTTTTAGACCTTCTGAACTCCTGAACACTTAAAAGTAAAAATACAGTATATAACAAAATACTTTTGCTCCTCTTGCATCTCATACATATGTCAAGCTACTTTTTCTCTTTTGCAGGTCAACTTCAATACATCATCTGGAGGTCACTCACCCATGTGACATGCACCTAAGCTTCTAGAAATCTTAATCTAAAAGGCTCCTGAAATTCGTATGCACATTTAAGAGTCAGTCAAAGAATGAACTAACAGAACACATCTGGCACTAGGATATATCTTAGAGCAAACACTTTTACATCCTACGAGTGCCAGGACTAGGAAACATTTAAGATTTATTCAGGACAAGAAAGCACAAATAAACATATGTATTAAGAGAAGTTACAACCAAGAGCTAAGATGTGCCTCCTGCAGCCTCTTTTTTGAGGAGTCAGTTAATAAGTGTACAGGTCTTTGTCTACTCAGACGTGCAGCTAAGGAGTGATTTAATTTTAGAACAAGGAATTCAGATTTTATCAAAACAGCACCAATAAACGTGTTCATTACACCAAAAACTACCATGGCATGCATCTGTACAAACCTTTCAGGCAGTTGTCCACAGCTGGTCATGAATAAAAAGGCATATAAATTTTTCTCTTCTTTTATTACAATGAAGTTTATAACAGTACAGAAAAGTCACACGACCTTAGTGGGTCAGTTTGCTTAAACCCTGAAACAGGAGTAACTCTAAATACATTAAATATTGTTACAAGTTCAGACTTAAATGTACAAGTAGTTGGGAACAGTTACAGCCCTCACCAAACTATGTTGGGGACATGAAGTCCAACAGCACTTGAAGTGCTGTGAAGGCATCATTTCACAAATAGCAACATAATGTCACAGAACTTGCCTTTAAGGTGGTATGTTCATGTAATTCCAGCGCCTTCACAATTTAACGAACCATATTTACTATACTTCACTTCTAAAAACCTAGATGAAACATGAAAAAGAAGCCATACAGTATAAATTGCAACATCAGGAAGTTCCTGTTAATATTCCAAATAATTTTTTCCCATGTAAAATAAGAATGTCCAATAGCTCCTTGCATGTGGGAAGATATTTATTTTTAAAGTCACAATGAAGCCTTAATTGACGGAAGCTCGGCTATATTAACAGCACAAGATGAGAAAAGGTTTAATCTCCAAACCTATTAGAGCGTGTGTAGTAGCATCAGTAGCGGCCACCTTGTGACATTACAGGAGGTCTCATTCCCATTGGAGGTCGAGGAGGTCCACTTTGGTAAGGGGGCACCATCGGAGGTCCCTGACCGTATGGAGGCATCGCTCCAGGAAGATATCCTGGCATGCCCTGGTGATGAGCACCATACTGACCTATAAACAGAACATTTAAGATGCAAAGAAGAATTTTATTTTTTTAAATAATGGGTAGAACTTGCATTTTGTGAAATGTTTCACCCTCCCTGCCAGTATAAGCCACTTGGAGTTTTAAAAAGGTTTATAGTGAAGAAAAATCTTTCAAGAAAAGAAAGCTAAGAAACTCTTGATTACCATGAGGGGGCATGGGAGGTCTCATTCCTTGTTGTGGAGGAATTCCTGGCTGTGGTGGCATCATACCTCCAATTGGTCCAACTGGTGGATTACCCAAAGAAGCCTGTCCTGGTCGAGGAAGATTACGCTGATATTTAGGCAACTGTGCCCTTCTCTCTTCCTAAAACCAGGAACAGACAGACAACCATAACACATTGTAGGGTGAAAACTCGCCAAGTATGAAGTTTAATAAAGTGGATTACAGGTACTAAACTATTTCATTTACAAGCTCAAAGACTGCTACTAGAAACATTACACAGCAGCACTAGGATTTCCCCCAGTTCCTCCACAGCTCCTGTATTAATACTGGCCAACCTGGCATTCTAACACATGCTCTCCTCCCTCAGCTGAAAAAATTACCTTCCTCACAACAAGCTGAGACAAAAAGCCAAATACAAATCTAAAGATATCTGAAGTGAAATAAAATGCCATTTGTTTTTATCCATACATTCTGTATTTCTGACTGCTGTAAGAGCACCAAGACCAATTTTAAGTCTTATCCTACACACACTAGCTGTATCTACTTAACTTCAAGCTTAAGCCATTATGCAGAGAAAGTCCAAGGTATATTTTAGGTTCAGTCATCTCCTATCACTAACAAAAATAAGGCTTAGGTCTGCAGCAGGATCACTGCAATATGCCAGTCAGTCATCACTTTACAACACAGGTTTTCTGGATGCATGGTTCTGTTACACTAATTCTGCACAATCTGCACTCTCAATATTGTTAAAACACATATAATGCAGAAGAAACTCCATTTTAATCAGCCAGATCAGCATAAACCGCATTTTTCAGTAAGAAAATTAAAATCTTTTAACTTACCAGTGATATATCCTCATCTGGATGGATCAACTTACTGGTTGCACTGGTTGTTGTGAGGGTAGCAGGCTTACTTGTTATGGACGTAGCTGGTTTAGCTGCAGTACTGTTTGTCGTGCTAGTGGTTGAGGTTGTAGACTGCGTGTAAGCAGGGAATGTAGGTTTTGGGGGTTCTGTTGTTGTTGCAGGTGTAGAATTCAAAGGTTTGAAATCAGTACCAACTGGACCTGGAACAGCTGCCGCAGCCTGTGAAACACAGAGATCAGTATTTATTTCTTAAAGCATAAGAAAATTCAAATGGTATCTGTTAGACTTCTGACTCCTTCCAGTAAGATACATAATTAAAAGAAGCTTGATAAAGTTCAGCCTTATTGCATACTAGAGCAACTGAAAACAAGACAAAATAAACCCCCGTATATACACATATATACACACACACACAGGGAAAAATCTAAAATGTGCAGGTCAAAAGCCACAACTAGAAAAAAGGAAAAACAAAACACCCCCTCCACTATTTTTATCTCAAATACTAAGTATGCTAAATGTCTAAATCTTTCCTGAATCACTGTTTCATTAACAGCCTGTAAGTACGAATTCATGGTTCTCACTAAATTATTAGCATACTTTAGCAACCGTTAAAGAGTCCAGCTTAAAGTGTTAGTATCCATTAAAATTAGGTATTTAAGAAATGTTGTAATTAAACACTTAAGAAAGCTCTATTGTGTCAGGGTTTAAGCATTCTCTCTATAAAAACACTGCAGTATTTTCACAAAGTACTGTGTCTCTCTATAGATCTTTAATCTCACAAAGAATCAATGGAAGGCAAATATGAGGCCTACTACAGATTCCGGCATCTCATCTCTCCTATGTTTTTCTTAAATAAGGAAAGTTTGCTTTACCAGACTTTCTCTGAAGATGCAGCAATCTCCAAAGCAAGCTTTAGTCATGAGAGAAAGCTTTCATTTCTGGTCACTGTACATTTACAATTACCTGAACTTTCCAATTAAAAGAAAGTATTTCAATTTTTGCACATAATGGAAGTTATAAAATTCCCAATATTATGATGTACTATATTAAACAACAAACTAAAAAAGCCTTCACCATGCATCAAGCTAACCACTGCCCACTAAAATGCATTTAACTGCTTTCATGCTTTTTTAACCCTTTAGAACCAGAATGTTGCATTTCATTCACACTAAGAGAAAATTGGGCACTTTGAGATGCTTATGTCTATTAAGATGCAACTCACAATCAAGGACTCTGCAGTTTTACCAGCTAAACATACTCAGGAATGTAACAGAAATTATCTGAAGATTTTAAGTCAATTTTAGATTTTACAGAACGGTCCAAAGGGTTAAGTTGCAAAGCAATTTGTTTTTTAACTGTGACTTCCTGCGTACTTGTGCTGTGCTAGGAAACAGAGCGTTAGAAGATGCTGACAGACTTTCTGAATTGGAGGAAGCTGTACTTGAGCTTGTGACAGGTGTCCCCATCTGTAGCATAAAAGAAAGGAAACAGTGAAAAGTCTCCAAACAAATGGGTGGACAGTATCCAGATGAAAGGACTTCTTATGCTAAGTCCTTTCTTATTAAAGGACTGTGTTTTTGTAAACAAGTATCTTTGTGCAGAAGTCCAAAATGCAAACAGCACACTGTTTCTGCAACATACTTGAGAGCAAGTAAAAATGTTAGGACTTATATACAAGTGCAATCCAAGGCCAGAGGTCGTAAGACACTACCAATTCCCCACTTCCCTCCCCAAAACATCTGTACAAATTTTTACTACTCTAAATTACTCCTGAAATTTTAAAGTAAAAAACCTCCTAATTCAGGCAATGCTTACGCAAGACTATAGAATAAATGAGTCCACCTATGGGTAGAGAGCCCATTATGAAAAGCACAGGAAATAGTAAGTCATGTCAAGATTTATACTTTGGAAATTTTACATAAAGTTCTATGCAATCAGATTCCTGTAGCTGACTAACAAATCCCTTCACCCACACAAAGCATCCTTATAAACAACAAACTAAAGGGACTAAAGAAATAAGTGTTTTGCCTACTCCTTTCTTCCCAACATGCTTACAGAACTTCTGTCTGGTTTCATGGCTAAGACAAACAAATCTTTAAAAGTTCATACAAGCACTACACTGAATTAAACTTTAGAATCAACACAATCAAGAAACTTAACCAGTCATTTCTCAGGTCTCCTCAATAATACAAGAATAGACGCTTCTGACATCACTTGAAGAATACAGCAAGAGATTCCAGGCTATGGGATACCTTACCTGCCCTGCACTTGGGAAGAGTGGTTTGGTAACCGGAGGCTGGGGAGTAGGTGCAGATGCAGCAGGAGCTGGAGGTCTGTTCAGAATGCCTGGTGCTGTAACAGGCTGTGCTTGTGTCATTGGAGGCATGCCAGGACGAGGACCAACAGGTGGTGGCATACCTACAGACCACAAAAAACCAGCAATAAATCAGGCTGAAGGAATTCAGAATACTCCGTTAGAGGATACTCCTCCGTGTGCCTTAGAACAAAGGCTCTCACAAGGAAGATGTATATTTAAGGCAACAGGAAAATAAAACATGACAAAGGGTTATACCAGCAGTCATCAATAAATGTCCATGCATGGGCAGTAGCCTCAAAAAGTTCAGAGAAATACTGAATTAAGCTGTTTTCTACTAGAGCTTCAATGAAGAAGCAGCTTATGCTCCCAAAAGATCAATTCCATTAATGCAGTGGCTGTTGCCAAGGCCCCGTACCTGTGCTGCCAAGCACATGGGTGAGACTGTCACAAAATCTGTTAGGATGCAACCATTATGAACAGTACCAGAACTCTGACCAAAACACAGATCAGCTCTGCTATGGGTACTCAGCACAGTGGAACAGTGACACAGGGCTACTTTTGCTAGCCTATCATCACAATACATGCACTTGGCATGTGTGGGGCTCTACGAGAGGTTCACAGGGGGGAAGTTAAGGGCTCACATTGGTCCCATCACATTATTGTGCAGCTCTAAATGTTCTAGAGGCTTGCCTCCTGCTCCAGTGAGAAATGTGGGCAAACCAACAAATCTCAAGCCATCACAGCACAGCTGTTGATCAGGTGCAACAACTTAAGGGTGTTAAGTGCTACACAAACTTGAGAAACACAGAAGCCAGAGAAAGTCCAACAGGAAAACTGTATTTTTTACCTTCAAAAACTAATTATTTACAATCAAAAGCTATAAATTAACCCCTTCCCCTATGCACCACAGTAGCTTCTGTGGCAATCAATCCCCCCCAGGGTGGTAGCTTAAGTCTGTATATTCTTTATATAAATCCTAAATCTCAGTGTAACTAAATAAACATAAAGTTAGCTCTCACCATAGTATGAGTTCGAGAACCCTGACCTACCTGGTGGCATACCAGGCATAAGGGGTGGTATTCCTGGCCCAGGAGGCATCATTCCACCCATTGGCATCATCCTGTTAAACAAAAAATGAGCACTGGTATAAACACTCATGAATTCTGAAGACAATTGGCATATACCTGTATTAGATAAAAATTTATGGTAAATAATTTCAAGAAGCTCTCAATAGAGGCAACTAAAACCCAGCTGACTCCACAGTTAGAAATTATTTTCCACAATGAAAAAACACCAACCAACAACCCAAGAAAAACCTCAAACACTTTTAATTTTATTCCTCAAGTTTTCACTTCCACTAGTATTACATTTCCAGAACTGGTGTTTCTCTCAAATTCTATTTCAGGCTACTAGTTTCAGCAGTGTTCCAAGTAACCTACTTCTAGTACACTCAGAAAACATCTAAGTAGGGAAAACTTCTAACTCAATCACTGCACATCTGCTATTACTCCTTTCTGACACCACAAGTCTAATTGAATTACAGCAGCCTCGTACTATTTTAACTTACTCTTCTTCCTCTAGGGAATCGCAGACAACACAAATCTGTAAAACTATGCACAAAATACTCTTAACAGCAGAGACTACAGAATAAGAAAGCTGGAGTTTCAGTGGCATTACATATTCCCTAAGCTAATGACAGGAAAGTGGAATTTTAAATTTTTCTTTTAAATGAGAAGCCCTTACTATGGCATGTTTTTCTTCTATATTAAAACCAGGTTTGTTTTGTTTTTTTCCTTGCAACTGATACCTGGAGAAATTGGTCTGTATTTCCTAACAGAAAGGTGGGATCTAAGTAACTCCTTTTATCTTTATCTACTAAACCACACTAGAAATGAATAAATGTTCCACATATAAAGTATACATACAACCCTTGATATAACCAAATTCCTCCTACACAGGTCTACAACTCCATAAAAATAAGCTGTCTACAACACTAAGTGTTTTAAAACTGGGAACCCTTAAATCAAAAGATCCAATTCCTTTACAGGGAACAAACCAAGTGTAGCCTAAGATTGCTTAAGTTTTTCCAGACATGAAGCTGGATTAGCCAAATGAAATAAAGGAACGCTTGTTATTCAGTCAGAAAGCTAAGCAGATACATAGCAGCCAGCCAAGTGCACACTAAAACTTCAGTAAGAAGCAGTTCCTATTTGTATGATAAGGCTAGAAACCTTCACCACTGCTGTTCCAAAATCAAACCAAATAGTCATCAACTGGGGAGCATTTATTCTGCAAAGCAAATTGCTGCCCAGTCTTATCTTTATTCTCAATTTGTCTACCATTCCTATAAAAGAAACACCCAATGCAGAAGCAGGAA